TTGCATGTTGTATAATAATTGCTAAAAATTATAGTAGAACCCCTATTAAGGGGACACAAACCAAAAATGTGAAATTGTCCCCTTAATAGGGTTTTTTGGCATGTTGTCGTATAATGATAACATAGTTCTTTATAATTTCATTTTAATTGACCTAAGAATGAGTTACCGTTTAATTATAACCAATTTATAACAGTAATATGCAATGCAAAAAATAATTCATTTAAGATATGAAATTAACAGATATGTAATTAAAACTACAAAATTTATGTTCCCGATATGGTTTCTTTATTCGAGTGCAAAGTTAAAGACCAAATTTTCTTTTTTATGTATTGAGCTTTCTATTGGATGCACAAGATAGACTACTATTAATAGATGTTACCAACTTAGAAATCAGGGTGCAGGCTGCCCAGATAGATTAAAATCTTATATCAAAATACACAAAACAAGAAATCTCTATGGTTAATGGTCAAAATTGACAATATTTTATTTATACGAAGTAACACATGCACTGGGCATCCAATGCCCATTTTAAGGATAGAAAACATTCTGGTTTGATGTTAAGTTCATTGCTCAAAAAGTGTCAAAATATAAATTTGAATAATTTTTTTCACGGAAAAGTGTCCCATTAATAGGGGTGTCCCCTGAATAGGGGTGTCCCGAAGGAGGGGTTCTGCAAATTATTGATATTTTGAATGAAAATGAAATTTTATTTTTGCCAAATAAGCGTACCAGCCGCCACGAAAAAGTGTTAATTTCTGAAAAAAATAAAAGTTTTTCTTTATTTTGTTATGCCCTCCGCTGCCTTGAAATCTCCATATCTTCAATTTGAAGCATTTAACCATCCTATTTTACATGCACCAATAAAATTTCATTTTTATTTTCTCCATTGGGATGTTATTGGCAAAACTATTTGCTAAATAAGAAAACAAAATTTGATATTTATTCCGCCTTCCTCCGATGATCTTTAATAAAATAAGTACGCAAAACAAGGAATAAAAGAAGTCTTGCCATATGCTTTCAGATATTTTAAATATTTTAAAACCTTCCTACAAAAAGTATCTATAAAAAAGGTTTTGAGGTTTGTTCATTCTGGTACTAAGCCCTTCATATATGGAATGCACTCACAAAGATGTGTATATTTACATACAATAAATAAAATACAGTTACACAGTGATCACTTGAGATCATTATTTATGTGTAGATTTCATATATGTAATGCAGTCATACATGTGTAGTTACTATGTACTTTTATATACAATATATATAATTTATTCACACATGGGATCACTATCTATTATAGATTTCACATATATGCCATACAGTCATACATGTGATTATGTACATTTATAAACTGTATACTGTATAAAATTCAGTCACACATGTGACCACTATGTTACATATATGTGTATATTTCAAATATGGATGCAGTCATACGTACATATATGATTACTTTGTACATTATTTACAGTATACAGAACTTAGACAGACATGCGACCACTATATATAGTATCTTTAGATTTCATATACTGGTATGGCATACAGTTACATATGTGATTGCTACACCAATTTTTATATACAGTATTCAGGTACATGCACATTATCACTATGTTAAAAGTATGTGTAGATTTCGTATATGGATGGATGGATTACCTTGCACAGGGGTAATCTTTAGATTTTATATACAGTACTGGTATGGCATACAGTTACATATGTGATTGCTACACCAATTTATATACGGTATATAATTCAGGTACATGCACATTATCACTATGTTAAAAGTATGTGTAGATTTCGTATATGAATGGATGGACTACCTTGCACAGGGGTCCAAAGTTGGAAGAAATTCCTTCTGGGTGATCTGATAAAATGAGCTTTCTTAATCCATCTGAATTTTATTTAGCTGCGCATGATGCTACCCATCGGCACAGACTTCCATGCGACAATTGATAATGAAGTCGTAAAAGCATACAAGTATTGAAGGGGAGGCCCTCCCAATTTTCTTGAGACTCCCACGAGTTCCGGGAGACTTGGGACCCCTGCTTTGTTCACTATGCAGTATACAGAACACATACATGTGACCACTATGTATGTGTAAATTTCATATGTATGGCATGTAGAATTCAGTCACACACTCACATGTGATCACCCATATGTGTACACTTCATATGTGGAATGCAGTCATACAAATGCGATTACTGTCTTCTGGATGTCGCTTGGCAATGCCACATCTGAGAAGCATCTCCACATAAGGCGGCCACAAGTCCGACGTAATTTCTAAGTACGGGTCGTACTCCTCTGTGCTTGTGCTCTTGTTCATTAAACCCTAAAAAATTTGATCACCGAATAAACGATTTATATACACTCAAGCAAGAAGGGAGTACATGATATTCCAAAACAAGATAATTTTCAATTTAAATTCCATGTACCAGTGTCTATGGTGAAGCATTTCTAAACAAAAATCTCAAGCACCAATATTATCGTCTTCATCATCACTGAATATTGTCATAATTACCACATAATTCACAACATCCTTATTATTCGAAAATTAATTGTTTGGTTCTGTTACCTACCTCAAGAATATTCAAGAGCGGAAGGTACTGATCTTCTCCATCATCATTACCGTCACCTTTAGTGCTTTTACCTGATAACTTCTGTAAAAAAATACATTAATTTCGTATAATTTTAGTCAGCCATTTTTTAAGGATTATGAAAACCTGGATTGTGTGGTGCGAGCTAATACGAGTAGGAATCAGGGAACGTTCCAGAATATTTGAAACGAAGGGGGGGGGGAACAATTTCATATAGGCCTAGATGAATAATAATTTTACAGATAAATAAGTATCCTATATTGGCATAAATGTAATGATATTTTAACGCGGCAGGGGGGAAAATGTTCCCCATCCTAAATCACCCCTTGGGAATACTGACAAGAAAGTGGAGGAATGTGCACATTGTGCATGATATGTTACCCATAATAAGCAACCAATTGAAAGTTAATGGGTTTACCTAGGTATAATGAACCTTAAATCAACATCGCTTACATTTCAATAGAGAAAGATAAATTCTAGGTTATCCTACTCAATCAGGTAAATATCACTTTAAAAGAACATACGGCACATACCCTTTTCCGAGAGAATTCCGGCCCTGGCAATGGGTAATGCTTCAAAACAAACTGTCCGAGATTCCTCATCAACCTCTGTTGCTCTTCAAGCCCTCGTCTCTTCTTTTCTTCCAGACTCTTTAATCGACTGCATGAAAATGGAAACACACCACAATGTTGGAATTTAAGATACACACATCATCAAAATGAGTGTATTCCTGATAACGACCCGATAAAAAGTAGAAAATTTGAATCCCAGCACGATGGTGTGTATTTAATTTCTTTGGACTATGTATTATTTTTTTGTATTTTAAACTCTCTGGTTTTCACATCATCAATGGAACTATATTTTGACTTAATTTTACCTTTTTATTCAATACATTCACAGAAAATTATTTTTTGGATTAATGTTAGTCATTTATTGGTTTTAATCTTTACTTGATTTTATAATTAGCCTTTCCTCACTTGCATTGGAGAGCATTTGATGCTGATATTGATTCAGTAGTTCACCTATTGACAAACCTGTCTCACTGATATGTTATTCATATTCTTCACTGATAATGTTTTAAAGCGGAGTATATAGGTTAGTGGTTAAGATGCTTGTTTGCCAGGGTCCTGGGTTCAATTCCTGTGACAGCTCCACACCCTAAGCCCCACAGACTTCGCATCATGTTATTTCATTTATTTAAGAGGGCCCCTGAATATCTGCCGACCTTCCAGGATACGCTGGAAGGGTCACCCTCTATAAATATGGTCAAAAAAATGTTTTGTTTAATAAAGTGTAATAGTGAATCATGATTAAGCGGATGATGATAATGATTATGAATATTATTATCTTATATAATTATTAACTCACCTACTGGCTGGTTTTCCAGGTTCCTTTCTTTCTGCTTCCAGTTTCTGTTCTAATGATGCTTTAACTTCCATATGCTGTCCAAGGAGTTTCCTTTCCCTAAGGAAAGAACATATATAGTAAAGTGGAGATGTAGCTTGGTGGTTAAGATGCTTGCTTTCCAATCCCATGGTCCTGGGTTCAAATCATGTGACGGTTTTTGGTTTTAAATCCTGTGAGAGTCCAAAATTTTTCCTGACGACTAAAACACATGTCCACTCCCTAAGCCCCATAACAAGACTCATAAAGCATTGCATTATGTGGAGTATCTGTGCATACGAAGAGAGTGGCGCTTTATAAGTGCAAGGAAGAGGCGCATTATACATGACTATACTAGTACCAGCTCACCTAATTAAAGCTCACTGTTTTTCTGGTTTCATTAATTTTTCCTTTTTCATTCTTTGATTTTTTTTACTTTTTTTGTGGATGAGGGGCAACATAAACGTTTTTTTTTTTCTTCGACGAATACCAGCACTTTATAAATTTTCAATATTATTATTATTTCATTTCATTTATGAGGGCCCTGATATCAGCTGACATTCTAAGATATGCTAGAAGAGTCACCTCTATAAATATGGTTAAAAGAAACCCCCATAGAATATGCACATTAACATTGCAGATGCTCCAATATGTTCATATGCCATTAATCATACAATTGTCAGTGTAAAGTTTAATCATCCTGTGTGTTTTTCTGTGATTGGCTGAGATAAAGGAACGACAATGAACAAAGGGACCTCCCTGTTGGAGAAAAAAAAAATTGTCAGGAAGAAAGAAAAAATTATTTGTATATTTTAGATATCAGTAGACTCTAAAATAAGCCTTTGAAACCCCTAAATTGTCATAGTCGCTCGGGGCTTCGCCCAACTGGAATACTTCGCATATTTTTTAAGCCACCACGACCAAGTCCAATTACAATCTCGACGGCTCCCCCATCTAGGACATCAGAACCCCCCGTCGGGAAAATCCTGGCGTCACTTCCGACGATGAACTACCTACCTTTCTGTTTCTTCAACCAGTTCTCTTCGCTGGGTTTTCACCACAGAGAGTGTTTGCTTCAATTGATCAGTAGATGACTGAAGACTAGTCAAAAGTACAGCTTCAATAACCTCAGAATTTGGGGTGATTACTAAAAGTGGGGAAACAAAATGTGGAAAGTGGTATTTTAAACTTATCACAATCAACATATTCTCAGGCCACTATGCATCAGTTCTCAGGCCACTATGCATCAGTTCTCAGACCACTATGCATCAGTTCTTAGGCCACTATGCATCAGTTCTCAGGCCACTATGCATCAGTTCTTAGGCCACTATGCATCAGTTCTCAGGCCACTATGCATCAGTTCTAAGGCCACTATGCGTCAATTCTCAGGCCAATATGCGTCAGTTCTCAGACCACTATGCATCAGTTCTCGGGCCACTGTGCATCAGTTCTCAGGCCACTGTGCATCAGTTCTCAGGCCACTATGCATCAGTTCTCAGGCCACTATGCATCAGTTCTCAGGCCACTATGCATCAGTTCTCAGGCCACTATGCATCAGTTCTCAGGCCACTATGCATCAGTTCTCAGGCCACTATGCATCAGTTCTCAGGCCACTATGCATCAGTTCTCAGGCCACTATGCATCAGTTCTCAGGCCACTATGCATCAGTTCTCAGGCCACTATGCATCAGTTCTCAGGCCACTATGCATCAGTTCTCAGGCCACTATGCATCAGTTCTCAGGCCACTATGCATCAGTTCTCAGGCCACTATGCATCAGTTCTCAGGCCACTATGCATCAGTTCTCAGGCCACTATGCATCAGTTCTCAGGCCACTATGCATCAGTTCTCAGGCCACTATGAGAATCAGTACTGGTCAGGTCTTTGTAACCGTCAATTGATACAGGGTTGTCATTGGCCACAAATACAGTGCACAAAGCTAACCCTCTAAGTAGAAAACGAAACCCAGAGACCACTACAGTGGCATCCCAAATTGGAGGACAAACTTTATTTACAAACACTTTACATTTCATCAAGTTGCAACCAAACTCAGTAATTTCAAAAAACACTATGTACTGAATACTTATGAATTTTATATGTCCAACCATTGACTCAAATTTTTAAGATTCTTTACAACATAACTAAAGCAAGATATTAGGTTTCAAATATAAGTTAAATGATGATTCTTTACTTACAACTTGGTAATGACTTTTTCATGATGTCAACCTCAGCCTGCAGTCTCTGTTCTTTAGCTTCCGATATTTGTAACATCTAAATAGAAATACAAAAATTAAGATGAAATAAAGTCAACATTAGGAAACACCTTTTGGTATGGAGTACAGTTCGTCCTCACACCTTTGGGACCTGAAAGTGGTCTCTGGGTTAAGTCTCCACTTAGAGGGTTATCTTTGTTTTAAAATATTGAGGTTTATTATTTGGTTCTTTAGAAAAGTGAATTTAGACAAGCATAGATGGTCAAACTTTATGCTTAATACATCCCTTAGTCTGAATAGTATAGTTGACCACACTATAAACTGCTCTCTACTTGTCAGATTGGACATTGGTTAAATTTTTGAAAATTCATGTCTTGGAGACGCACCCAATTTATGTTGGGTTAATGGTGTTAAAGAGTATTAATACTCTTTAACACCATTAACCCAACATAATGGTGTTAATGGTGTTAAAGAGTATTAATAATCTTTAACACCATTAACCCAACATAAATCGTGTTAAAGTGTATTAATACATGATTCATGTTTCTTTTTGGAATAGTGAAATTTCTGCCTGGACAAATCAGCATAAAAAGTGGTCTCAGGAAACTATGGAAACAAGCTACAGACATGAATCCAGAGCTTACCCAGACAGTTGCACAGATGGGTTCACGGGGGAGGGGTCTACAGGGATGCAACTTCTATATCAAGAAGAAATACATGAACTGAACTGATCATCCAGCGGTGTAGTTACTTTAGACCTAATTTTATCTCTCCCTCTGATAGCACAACGTTCTGAATCCTTGCCTGGGCTACAGTATGTGACTGTAAACCATACAAGAGTCCCGTTACTTACTGTGCATTCAGGGTTCTTTACACTTCCTAAACACGTTTCTTGAAGTAATTTATCATGAAGCTGTGGATGAAAAAAACAAGGAGGAAATAAATATTAACACTCTTAAAAATATTTTAAAAAAAAATAAATAAATATAAATTTAAACATTACATAACTATTTTTTCTTTAAATTTTACATGGTTTCTTTACCATTAAGTACATTTTGCAATTCCAAAATGTATGTTAGTCCAGGTCAAAATTATCATTAATTTTAGTTTGCTTCATACAAAATGCAATTTATAATCCGAAAAAAATATTAAAGAACTGACTTTGTTTAGTTTCAACCACTGTTCCTTAATTTCCATTTTCAGTTGTTTTTCTGCTTTTTCAGAATTAGTGGACTGGTGCTGATGATCCTGATCAAAGGATGATGCCAGAAAACGTCGAGCGGCTGATAAATCCGTCTTAAAAGGAAAATTCATATGTCATTATCAACTGAAAAAGAATGTACATTCTTTCTTTCATTTTTTAACATTTCTTTCAAAACTCCTCTAGGCAAAAAACTATTTTATACGGCTTTACCTGATGAAATCTGTAAATGTAATTCTCTCATTATTTTATTTAAGACTTTAATAAATGGTCATGTAACCAGGGAGATGGCACAAAATCTACCAAATGTTACGCCATCGAAAACATTTTCAGAATCAAATTTGGTTACTTGGTTTAAGATTTTTATAAATATTTATTTCTGCCGGAAGTCTGGCTACAGGCATTATACAAATTGTGTGACTTTTTTCACTAATCCAAATACAGTAAAAACCCCTCATTTACGTACAGCACGGGCCCAGAGCCGTTCATAAATTCGAGTATTCGTAAAATCGGGGTTGACCCAAATTCCTATATATTTGCACTGGTACTACTTACACTGGCATAAACTAGGCCTAGGCTAGGCCTACAGGCTTACACAGCTAAATCTGAGGGGGCCTAGGCCTACAGTAGGCAGCTTCTAAGCATTCTGATCCCACTCTAGGCCCTACACAAATTTGTTTTTATCGGAAATTTTTACCTTCTTAAATACCTAGATTGTGGATTTTACTCCAACACAACTTCCATAGATACTTGTTTATTATCTACATATATTGATCATTCAATAAAACAATCAAGCACTATGTTGAATTTTAAAGCTGAAAACGATGTTTGAAAGAGAAGTAAAATTTGTCGCATGCACATGTGTGAAGCCATAAAAAACACTGACTTTGAAGAGGCCCGTTAGAGGGCCTTCTTCACTTGAGAATTACGGGAACCAGTCAACTCGAGCGAATGCCACTTCGAGCGAAGGCCAATTCGAGCGGATTCAAGCGGAAATTTTTCGAGCGGATGCTAGTTTGAGCGGAAGAAGATCCACTTGTGCGAACAACAACCTGTGTGATTTATATACGAATTACTTCAAAATTTCCTATTTTTGAGCTAAAAATTTGAGACTTTCAAAGGGGAAGGGGCACAACAGTTCCAGAATAGATAAGTGAGTAGCATAACTCAATTAAAAATATAATTTGAGCTAAAAATTTGACATTTTCAAAGGGGAAGGGGGCATACAACAGTTCCAGAATAGATAAGTGAGTAGCATAACTCAATTACAAATATAATTTGCTTTTTTAAATAGAGAACCCCAACCAGAGGCAGATCTGGAGAAGGGGGGGGGGGTGAATAGGGTGGCTAGCCACCCCACTTTGTTTACCATGAAAAAAATAATGGTCACTCGTCTTGTGTGTGTGCTTCTCGTGCACTCTAGTAAAACATATACTTTTTTCTTTTTTAAGCTGAAAAGTGCGCAATTCTATTAGTTTTAACTTGTTAGCGGCCATCTTGGTAGTCGGAGTTGCCAAGACTGTAATTCAAACATGGATTAATTATCAAAAAGTACGAAAACCTTTCAGGACCTTAGTAATTAGAGCATTTTTTGCATTTAAAACAAACAAATACTGTACAACAATACGGCGACGATAAATTCGCCCTTGTTATAGTTCGCACTTAATGCATCCGCTCAAACTGGCATCCGCTCGAACTGACATCCGCTCGAATTGACTGGCATCCCGAGAATTACATAGTACTGTATAGTATGGTGTGTTGTGTTGTATGCATGCTAATAACAGTTACAATTCGAGCGGATTTTTTTTTTTTAATCTTTCACTTCAATTTTTATGACGCCATCACCTTTATATTACCTTCGTAAAATCGGGAATTTGTTAAATTGGGGTTCGTAAATGAGGGTTTCTACTGTAAGGCTTTTTGCTGGGATTGGTTAAATCCACATTCATAGCACCCACAATTGATGTAATGTATATGTAGTTAGTTGCAGTGACCCAAAAAAACCCTTGTGGGCCCCTAGTTTCCCCCCTCTCCAGGTCTCCAACAGTCAAATCAACTGCTAAGGAAAACATTGACATGTCATAGCTTTCGGCATCATCATCATAGTTTTCTCCATTGCCCCAATATTCAATTCAGTACACCAAATTTCCTTCTAAAAATTTCTTAATCCTGCCTGAGTACCACTTTGCTGTATACCGTTGCGAGATTGTTGATTGCATCATCAATATGAACCTGGTAGTCAATGCGAGTTCATCCAGGTAATTCATCAAGTGCTACTACTGTACTGTACTTTGCTATAAACGATTTTAGCTTACGCTCTGTTAAAATGAGTGCCTTCCTGTGTCGTTGATTGCACCCAGTTCCCTTGCCATATTTTCTGCTGAATTTCTCTTGGGTTCATTAATAACATTAAAGCCAAATGTTCTTCTGGATTTCACTATAAGATCATCAATGTGTTGAGTTGGATTTGGAACACCTGCATCTATCATACTGAAAACCAACTCTCTTGTTTCATTGTTAAATGTGGTCCCATTTTTCTAGCAATTCTAATCATTGCTCTGTTCTTCAACAACTTCCTTGAATTCTTCCTCTAACTGTAAAATACAATTCTCCTGCTCCAGTAGTTTATCATTATTCTCTTTTAACTTCTTACTTAGCTCTTCATTTTCTCTAAGTAATTCCTTCGCCTCCTCACATGCACAACTAAATCGAAGTTGGATTGGACAGTCAATACATCAGCATAACATCATATCAATCAGACTTAATACAATAATAATTGGTCGATGATGACATCATCAGGGGCAAAGACCGTTCGTAAAATAGACGTTTTACTTACTTCCGGAGTAGTTTTGTTACACGGTATTTAACGTGTGCTAAAACTTGCTTGAATGGTCAACCACTGAGTGCTCAGCGCGATTAACCGGTGAAATAAACGGAATACGGTTGACATTTTTCGCTCGAACGGGCCCCTAGGGCCTACTACTTACTTTTTTTTTAACTTGGTTGGCAGAAAAGTGACACAATAAGAAGCAAATTTAAATTCCTCAAGACCACCACCCTCACACACTATGACATTAAAGATGGAATACTGTAAACCATTTTCGAAGAGCACTGTAGTCTAGCCTACCCTTTACAGCCTAGGCCTCCTAGGCTCGGCAAAGCCAGAGCCCCATATTTGGCTTGCCTTGCCTAGGGCCTAGGCTAGCTAGCTAGAGTAGAGGCTGAGGCTAGGCCTAGCTCTCTTTCTTCTTACACTCCGGCCCTAGCTAGTACTAGTAGCAGCCTAGCCTAGAAACCTAAAATACTAAAATAGTGGCTTCTTTTCCTCGAATATTTAGCCTTTGCTTTCTGTTTTGGTCTACATGTAAATTAAATGAGTAAAAATTACCATGTTTTTTTGTTCGAACGGCCACAGAGCAGCCAAGTTTGTAATGCCGCGAAAATGTTTGAAATTTGATGGAAGGACGATCTTTAATGGGCCATTGAGGGCGCTAATTTCTTTTCAGGGTTTCCACAGCCACACACACGCTCGAGAATGACTTAAAAAATTCACGCTCGAGTTGTCACGTTTGCGAAAGATTAATTTTAAAAATTATTTCCGCCCATCATAGTTGATACATAAGGTGCTCCAATATGAATGTCCGTGTAGCTAAGGTAAGGAGTAATATTCAGTACATGAGGAACGCGTTTTTGATGTACTTAAAGCAATAGAATATCGTTGTTTTTGTCCTAAGAGAGCTAGGCCTAGGCCAGCTCTTGCAATGCTTGTCGTCGGCGCATGATAGCGAAAGCAGGGTAACGTCAGTGAATGCATGCCTACTACTAGCCTAGAACAAAATGTAAATTATCAATCGCACCGGTTAGAACAGGCATTTATTTCATTAACATTAGTCACTACATTGTTGTTGTGGTTTACTTCAGAATCGCGTTCATTTTCTTTTAGGTCTAGTCCTAGGCTGGGTCCTAGACCTAACAGTGGAGTGCCTAGGCCTAGAAATAATTTATATTTTTTGACTTAAAAATTAAAATAATAAGTTTGCTGAGTGATGAGACTAAATAAAAGTGTAAGTACAGAGTTATAGAATACAGTTCAATGGTGAAAGCCATGAAGTGTGACATTGAATTGCAAGGACCCCCTGGAACACTTGCAACTGAACAAGAGCCTCATACCTAGGAAAATAATGCATTTCTCTCAAATTCCTTAAATCGTCATGTTTTTACTGCTGTGTTACCACATTATCATTTACCTCACACAAGTCAGTGTTAAATGGTATCACCTTAAGCAGCAAAATAAAATTAGATGTGCTAAGAAAAATCTCTTGGAAATGACTTCTTCCAACTTCACGCCTTCCATTGAAATGAATGCTGTATGTATTTATAATCTTGGTGATGAGAATGACAAACCTAAGTATACTGTATTACAATGTTTGGAGAAATTGATACTTTTTTTATGGTATCGTAACCACAAAGTAAGAGAAAACTAACTTAATATTTTCATGTTTTTAGCCCGAAGACTTGATGAATATGCAGCACTGCAATCTTCTTTGTCTACCTGAAAACTACCAAATGAAATACTACTTCTACCACGGTCTTTCCTGGCCTCAGCTGTCGTATGTAGCAGAAGATGAGAACAAAACAGTTGTTGGATACGTTCTAGCAAAAATGTAAACTTTGAACCTATATAAAGTATTTAAATGAATTGTTAGATAATCAATCTTTAAAACAAAATTTGAAATATGTAGAGGCTGTTTAATTAATTCTGATTGGATGTTTATTGCATGTATGTGTTGGATTTGGACAGTAACATCCAATCAGAGTTGGTTTAAGAAACAATAGCCACTGCCTATGTCTTTTATGTTATAATATTTTTGAACTTCTCTAGGGAGGAAGATCCAGACGATGTTCCCCATGGCCATATTACATCACTGGTAAGATGATTAAAATTCAATATAAATGCAGGGTTGTAACTGTAGAAAACTAAGGTTGGGTGATGGATATTTTAAGGGTGGATGGGTGATAACATTGGTAAACTCTAATGGGTGGATTTTAAGTATGGAAAAGTGTGTTAAAAAGGGTGGGCCGAGGGCCATGAAATTAGCTTTAAACTGGGTGGCAAGTCTGGGTGGCCCCGCCCACCATAACTACATACCTGATACTAGTAAATGCAATTAATAATAATTAGTAATTCATGGAAAAAATATGTCTAAGCTAATGGCTACTACCCTGTTATACTAATTAAAGTGAAGTTTTTACAGAATTAAAGATAATAATGCAGCACTTATAATACATCATCTATCTAGCATGCTATTCCGAGGTGCAGGGACGAAAAGAAAGTGTAATTATTTATAATTTAAGCATAATTAGTTTGTGCATATTTATTCCTTTTCTAATCTGTATTCTTGCAGGCTGTGAAGCGATCGCATCGTCGTCTTGGCCTTGCTCAGAAACTCATGGATCAAGCTTCCAGAGCGATGGTGGAGAACTTCAAAGCAAAATATGTATCGTTGCATGTTAGAAAGAGGTATAGTTCTTATGTTTTGTTGGAATTTTGTGCTGGATGATGAAAATAAAGATGATGATGTTGGTGATGAAATTGATGATTAAATGAAAACTGGCAATGTCAAGACGATGATGGTGATTATAGGGAAGATGTTCATGAAGTAGATGGTGGTGTAGTTGATAATAATGAATAAGATGATTGATGAACAGTTACATATACACCTAGTCAATAGATAATTTTTGCTGATGCTAACAATATGTCCCTTTATGTTTACAGTAATCGTGCAGCCTTACATCTTTATAAAGTTACCCTGAAATTTGAGTGAGTGTTTCCTTGGTTCTGTATCTATTGTTTAGTGTATTGTAAGTAAAAGTAAATTGTTATAATTATTATAAAAAAGGTAATGTAGAAGAACAACCCATAACTTGCAGCGTCACTCTGCTGAATTTCGTATGGGGGGTGGTCTGTGACTACCTAGTGGCCGTAAAGAGGCACTTATAGTAGCTACATGTTTCCATCATTCCACAACGACAGGCTGAAATGAAACATAACATCGGGGTAACACCCTACTCTTCCGAAAGATGCAATGGGTTCTTTAAAGTGCACACGAGCCAGATGTATACACTGGACCTCCATTTTAAGTCCTTATCCAAAAAGACTTGGCTTTACCAACCAAACCCTGGGCGAGGAGCGGCTGGAACCAGCGTCGATGTTAAGGCTGTAGTTAGTGGCGCCCCTGCCTTCCTGCTCGGCCACTCAATGGAAATGGTAGAAGTAGATATTGTTGAGACCTAAACTTTTTTTCCTTCAATACAGAATCAGCGAAATTGAACCAAAGTACTATGCTGACGGGGAAGATGCCTATGCAATGCGCAGAGACTTAACTTATTTTCTTGATGAGGTATGTTTAAAACCATAGTACAGATTGTAAATTCAGCATATATTAACTAATTTTGATTTACACCATTCAAATAGTAATTATAAATTTTGTTGTTATTGTCAAAATTATCACACCAATATTTACAAAAATGCTTATTGTTTGATGAATAAAAAATAAAAGCCTACAATTTCCCAATAACAGCAGTTATGTTGACATTTAGCCCTTTTTCTGAATACTAAAATGGATCCAAGATTATATACTCAATATATTTATTTGTCATATATACATGTACAATACACATACAATGAAATTGTATGTGAATTAATATATTTAATCTCTTGGCAGTAGATTTGCTCTTTTTTTGGGGGTGGGGGGGAGAAACCCGGCAACTTCGACCTGGGTATCCTACGATATACACTAAAGATCTAATAATTATATCTATCACCTTATAATTGTAGTAATGTGTCTATTTGCACGAATGTGTATACTGTCTAAACTTTATATCTCATAAAATCTCTATGAAATTCAATATCTAACCTAATCTAGAATAGCAAGACTAATTTTATATTTCATCACCTGTAATTCATTGCCATTTGATGTGAACAATCTTTATAGTAAGTACAGTAAATATAAATTTGAAAGTTTTGTATTCTATCTTCAGCTGAAAATAAAAATGTCTCTTCAGGATCCACTTGAGGCTCTGCTGGAACACTCAGTAATTTTTCTCATTTTAGTTGGTTTTTTTTCTAGTTTTTTTTTTTATTTTTTGTTCAGTTTCACTTGTTTCTCTAATCCTACAGCCATCCAGCTTTATTAACATTGTTCAAAAATTGTCAGTATATGTGCACAGATTCCATCTGTGTATTGTCTCTTCTTTTTCTGTTTTAATTTATAATGTTTACAGGTGTTTTTTTTTCTGTTTTGTTAATTTCTAACAATGAATTTTGTATTGAATTGATAGTGTGTTGTTCTTTATGCAGATAGTAGCACTGTGGAGTTCATATTTTTTATTTCTGTTTTAAGTTACAGAAAGTCCCTTCTGGGTCTCGTATCATTATTTTGGTATTTTACTATATAAGAGGAATTGTCTAGTTTGTTTTTTAAACAATTTAAATAAATTTGCTCATGCTCGTTACAGGTAAAAGGTGGCAGATGGGAGAAATCAGTACGTGCAATAGAAGGAAAGAACTGCACCGGATTGAAAGCAATTGAAGCCCCTCCTGAGAAAACAGAAGGCAAAGATAAGGAGAATGCCAAACCTCACGACCATGAAGTTACAAAGAATCCAGAAGTTACGGATAGTAAAGTAAGCGGGAAGAAAAAACGAAGAAGTAAAGATAAATCTGGAGATGCATCATCAGGAAGAGATAAATGAAAAAACGGATTGAAAAACTGATTAAAAAAAAATATTCCAGCGTTTATTGGTTGTTTCAGTCCATGATTAATAATCGAATGTTCCACATTGCCTACAGTATTGTTTTGAAGTCATGAATTTTTGGTGGAATCTTACTAGATTCACCTGATACAAGCCATCCACGAAGTGGAGGAAATTAGCACCAATCATACAACGGTTGAATTCACTACTTCACTGAAATAAAACTATCTCGGTGTATAAATTGTTTTACTATATCTCGTAAATATTATTAGACGTGTACAATTTGTATATTGTACACATAGCTGTGGATGTGGTAGTCAATGTGATAGTACTTTTTTCCCCACATCTTTCTAAATTTGACACGCACAGGGAAGTAGTCTAAACTTTCGCAGGAGTGGAATTGACAAATGAAATTTTGTTATTACCCAATTAATATTTATAAAATATAGTAAAATTTAAAATTAAATTCAATCAAATATAATTAAATTTCCTAATTTTAACTTACAAGTAGAGATACGCTGTATTCGACTGGTCGTTCTTTGTTAAACCACACCTGTCTGCGCGGTGGTACTTAAGGAAGACGACCAAATGAACAGAAAACTGGTAAAAATGGCTGCAAAGTTACAGCGATACACGCTAGCATAATCAAGGTTGTTTCAGCTTGTGGCAGTAAAAAAATATTTTTATGCAGTTTTTGAATCGTGTTAGCCTACAAAGCAGTCGAATACGGCCATAGAGAGTAACTCGCACCGGTTTACCAGGTAGCTCAGACACAAAGTAACCCTTAGAAGAAAAGGAAGTTACTGCACGAGCTAGTCCAAGCTTGTGGTGCTTTGAAACTTTGGTATGAAGCAATACAGTTGAGCTTGCCTAAGTCAAGTCCAAAATGCCATTAAAAAATTGTTCAACTTAGATAAAATTTTGACTTACAGATTGTTAATAATGGAAAACACAAAAATTGGCATGTAAAATAAGTTCGATTTAGAAATTATTTGAGTTAGGCAAAGTTGGCTTAGGTGACAGTTTAACTGTATATAAATCTTATACAGTATTACATTACATGCATTATGTACATCAAATCTATTTATTCTTTTAAGATCTGCTACAATATCAAGTGTCATTGCATATAATAGCTGTAATTTGCCTATATATAGGCATGATGTCATATCAAACCCATGAGCAAATAAGTTATCTTGATAGGGTGGATGGAGAAAAGTCAGGATCAGGAGGAAAACAATTTTTTTGATATGTTGTACATCTGATTTTTCTTAAACACAACAAGCATATTTGATGAAAGATGCGGGAACACGGTTAATGAGTGAGATACAGATTTTTTAATATTTAAAAACTGGTAGAAAAAAAGGGTGGTTACACCACTTTTACCCCCAGTTTTTAAACATTCCAAAATCCGTATCTCATTAACCGTTGCTGAGTCTTTCATGAAATATGCTTTTTGTCTTAAGAAATATGAGTTGTACAACATATCAAAAAATTTACTTTAAACAGAAGATATTGGAATGGTAATACTTTAATACAGTAAATATTTACAAGAATATGAAACATTCAATAAACATCTGCTTTTCAAAATGATTGACTTGTTTCCCCTTTATTTCATTTCTGTGGTCAACTGTTTATAAACACTGCATGCAATAGACCATTGTCTCAATGTCTCACAAATCACTGGGTGACTTCCAGCAACCTAGCCTGAGCAGCTGGCTAGTTATAAATAGAGCACCGTGGAGCACATCGCGCCGCTAGACCCTTGCTATAGCAGCTGTATACAACACATCATGCTAATTACTGTACATGTAAACATTGAAATAGCTTTTGAAGACTTGGTTTTAATAGAAACATTTCATTCTTTTTTAGATTTAAAATATTCGTGCTCATTAGCAATTAAATTGTTTAATTATTCCATGATGCGTATAGTGAAATGCTAGGCCTCTGGAAGTCCCCCAATAGTGGTTGACAGGTTATCGGAAATTTCATTTCAAATTTGACGAAAATGGTGTATAGCAGTAAAATGATTCGGTAAAATATCTGCTTAGCACCATACAATGCTTCTGCTTCACAATAATTTTGTAGAAGACTACTGGCACAGTAGTAGTAGTAGTTTTTAAATTCAAGAGACACTGCGTTTGCCAACAAATTCAACCTTGCTCTTTGTGAGCGCTTGACAGTGAGATGCAGTCTGCTGATTGTGGATGGCAAACTGAGCAGATTTTCATTAAAAACCATCCATTTGTGCGCGTCTCTTCTCAAGACAAAGTTTTTACAAGGTCAGATATATTTCCTGGTTTTGACATAGACCCTGGGTGTCAAATTTTTTCCTCTGGGTTAGACGCCCTGGGTTGATTTTTTTTCCCATGCTGCACCCCACAACTTGGATAGTACAAACAAAGGGTTGAACTATGCCCTCTTGTTTTCATCTTCGGGTGTTGTATTTTTCCCTGGTTTTGACCCATACACCATTGAAATTTGTCGCTTGGAATTTTTTTCCCTAGGTCAATTCTCAGAAGGTCAGATATTTTTCCTGTGTAATAATGGTAAAAACAAACGTACTGTATCTAAATTACCAAACCGTTTTGGTAAGTAGGCCCGGATATGTCCTGCTGCTATGGGACTAAACCAAAGGCAAGTATTGTTTTCAGTCGAACGTGCGCTTGCCTCCATGAAAATCGTGCTACACTTGTGGGTGTCTTTATATAATTTACTGGCAAGGAATCGCCAAGTTTGGGTGGTTTTTGGCTTTTTTTGGTACGAATAATACCATAATCACTCGTAACCCAGCATATTCACTCGCCTAAAACAATATGTTTCCAACAGCATCCAAATATTGCATATACCCACAAGTTATTAAAGTATATAATTGTCCTGTTATGAAAATATTTACACTTTCTTCAAATATACAATCTATCAAATTATATTTCAGAAAATAGAAATATATCTATAATAATAAAAGCAATTTTGGTGCACTATTTGTTTTGGCATAATGGCAAATTTTACTGAAAACTTAGTAATGCTCATCTCCATTAATATATTAAAACTTGAAGCTAAAAATCACCTCCCTTCAAGAGAGTAAGACTTTAAAAGTTCAATATCTCCAAATTTAACATATCCATTGTTGCCGATAGGCCACGACTGTAGGTCGTTATGGTAGCCTGGATTGCTACGTTTTGATTGGTGGGTGGAGGAAAACAGGCACTGAGTTTCCTTATGTCTTGGCAGGTAGATACATAGTTTGTCCAACATGTGTCCAGGCCAGAAGATGCTTGGGTCTTCCGTCTGGTTCATGCTGATGTACCGTTTTGAAAGATGCCTGGAAAGAAAATTAAGTTTTGCGATGCAGCATTTAATCAGGGATCAAGTGAGAAATAATTATTTATAATTATTATTTTTTTTAAATAAATAAAACAAATTAAAAACAAAAATTACCTGGTTAGATAAGTATATTCTTCAAATGTCATCCAACAGTCGATCTTTCGTGACACAAATGCTTTGCCACTTGAAAGGTTCATCATTTGCATTTCTCGCTTGACGTCATCTTGAAATGGGTACGTATGTCGTGCCTCCATCAGCATCTCGCCAGTACTGCTGACCCTGACCTTGTCGGGGTCAACCGGTTTGACAGGGGGTTTGACTGGCTCTGGAGGGTCAGCTAAATTGCTGGAAAATGGATTACCTGGGGCTGACTTGAGTTTGATGGTTCTATGTGGTTTGTCACCAGGATAAAGTAAAGCTGAAATTAAAAAATCAAATAAGAATTTAGTCTTTCTTCACTAATGTATTATGAGCAGGTGTCCCAAGTCTTCCGCAAGTCACTTGTCCGCATCCAAATTGGAATCGTAAATTTGGGGACCAGAGGTAGCTGCAGTGAAACACCACACAACTTCACTATTCCCCATAGTCCTTAGCCTGCCAATATGAGGGTTACTTGTGGGGCCTAGTGATCTCCTAGAAGTCAGCTGGTGATGGCTACCACAATGCACAGCAAAAATACAGTTAAATGTGTTAATAAAGTTCATTTAACCAGATCTCACAGAATGTACTTCTTCCAACTCTTGCATGAGGGAGTTTAGTTGTTCAACAAATAACAGGTTAGTTGGCATTATTAAACTAAAAAGGAACACAAAGGAAGAAACACTCACCCTGTTGAAGGAGCTTTGGCGTGAGGTTGACCTCGTGCTTATCGCAGAGTTTGAGCACTTTGTAGTATTCTTTCAGCTGTTCTTCTCTGAAACGATCAATATTTTCACCGGTTTCACCTTCAAAGGTGGATTTGAGACAGTGTTGATCAATAGCCGGTATATATGTCTTCACCTTACCTGATCTACTCAACTTCTTTTTCGCTTTCTATTAAGAAAAATCATTCATTCATTTAGTATTTCTTTCCTTTCTTTTTTTTTTCTTTCTTCAAACATACAGTAACATCATAAATATTACAAATCATAGGAAATAAATTCATTCTGGATTCAGTAAATTATTTGTGAATTTTCTTTCCTTTAGTTAATCCAGTGTCAATTTTTTATAAGTAAATGTTATTTTTACTTGACATGTTTCGCCTCTTGGCAAGAGGCATCGTCAAAAGTGAAGCGATGACAGCTCGGACCTTCCAATGACGTTTCGGTTAATAGCGCCACCTATTTTTCGCTTGGGTTTACCCAAGCGAGGGTGCTGGGGGTCAATCAACAAAATACTGGAAAAGAAGAAAGTAAAACAAGGGGGGGAAACCAAAAGATACTCAGACCATGGGGAAAACGAGGGGAAGCGTAGGGATCCCGTATATACCAGAATTATCTGAAAGATTCAGGAGAGTTAACTCATTCTTCATCCCACAGAACAAACTAAGAAATCAACTGGTACATCCAAAAGATAAAGTTAAAAAAGAGGATTGCTGTGGTATAATTAACCAAGTAGATTGTTGCAATTGCGAAAAAAGTGTAATTGGGGTGACAGGTAGGTCCTTCTCCACCAGAATAAAAGAACACAAATCAGATGTGGACACTCACTGTTCCAGCGTCCTTATCAGAACAGCTAGGAACTCTGCATCCCAAGTCACTCACAACTCCGCAATTACTGGCCACATGATTTCTAGGAACCATCTCCCTGATTGGAACGCAAAGATACTGGCAAAAGAACCACACTGGCAGGATAGAAAAAAGAAGGAAAGGGGGAATTTCTGAAGCACAGCTTAGTACATGAGAAACCCCCTGATACAAAAATAGTAATTCAATTAAATACACAGGCACTACAGCACACAAAAAACATAAACAGAGTGTAATTTTTTTTTTTTACTTTAAAAAAAAAAATCAAACATATATATGATTTCTATAATATAATAAACATCATTTCCAATAATTCTTTCTAATTTAATGAATATTTTTTAAAAATATAAACTGAATAAAATTTCTTTATAAAATTAGACAATTAAAATTATAAAGCAAAAAATAAACAATTTAACTTATATATATTTATTCCTCAAATAATTTCTCCAAACAATTAAGTTACTGGCTGGATTATCTCTACATTATATGTCATAACAAATTGAGTTATTACATTTAAAAATTTTCTCAATGAATTAACAAAGAGTCACCTAAATAATAATTAGCTATTTGATTGATTTGCCCAAGTATGTTTTAATTATTTAATTACAATTTTATTTCAACTTAATTGACAATGAATTCAAAGAATTTAACAAGTAAAAAATTCAAACATATCAATTGAAAGTTGAAAACATATTTCTCGTTCTTCCACCCTCTGAACTAGAAAATCTTAATTGTAAAAAAAAAAAAAATAACTAACCCTGATGTGTCTCTCTCGCTTTCTCTTTTCTAATAAGTCATCAGGAGCAAGTTTAACCTGTTCTGTGATATCCGTAAGCGGAACCTCAAGGAGGACAGACCCACGTCTACTGCTAGGGGACATACTTGATGATAAAGAGCCAGCAGAGGGGACACGATCATTAGGTGGAATCACAGCTACTGCAGGAGAGCGGATGGCAGGAGATACTGGAACAGCTTTACGCGTTGCTGGAATATGGATAAGAAGAAGTGAAAATATAATAGTTAAACCCTCTGTGATTGTGGAAACAATTACCACAAGCTTCAGATTTCCAAATTAATTCCGATGCACATTACACTCCTTCTGTTCTTATGCAAGACAATTTATATACGTTTATCTCTCCATATATGTATAAAGGAGTTTGAAAATATTAGGAAAACATTGGTTTAGCGCCAATTTAGCTGCATGACTAAGAATATTTTAAAAGTGCAAAGGAGATCGCATGTACAATTGATTCAGATATGTTGGACTCTTTGTCGACAAATTTCTGGAACTACCGCTGGCCAGGACGTAATGGAGCATAAAGTGATATAAAATTTTGAAGGTAAACAGGAGCAGAGTCATGCACACTCATAAATCAGCGTTGCAATCAATCATTATGATTCTTACTTGTTCTGTTTCGTGCTTTACGAGATTTCCTTTTGCCAATGTTATGTTCCTTCATGCCACTAGCAAATTCCTTGTAGTCGATTTCACCATTATTATCTTGATCAAGGCTTTCAACTAGATCTTCCAAAAGCTGAGGTGCCATTTCAATGTTACCCTAAATTTTACAATAAAGATAACAATACATTAATTAGGAAAATCATTGTTAATTATGTATTCCAAAACATTTCCTACCACCTATACACAGTGTACTGGATGTTACTCTGAAGTGGTTGTTAGAAGTGGGGAAAATATGGCATAGGATATTAAAGGTGGCTGCTAGTGGAAAGAGATGTGAAAACGTTGGTCTATGTGTAAAAATGGTATTAAATGGTGGTTCAATCGGAGAAATCTTGGTGAAACTAATAGTGGTTGGTGGTAGGCTGGGGCTAGTAATAATTATGATAATATTAATTTGTTATATTTACAGCTAATATGATGGTATTTGTAGGCTGTGTCTTATATTTATTGTCAATTATTTTTATGCAGTTTGCTTATCATTCTGCTAACAAGCTAAATTTAACAGTTTGTAGTACTGTTAAGGTTACACAAAAGGACAGCATTAAAATATACGCAAACACGTGTACTTGCTCTGTTTTGATTGGTCAGTTTATTAAGTTTGATTGACACCCCAGAAATGTCCATTATGGGACAGTTGGCAACAGAATCAGTCGGAAGGGACATAAATACTCAAGGCAGCTGAATCTACCTAGTCATTTAACATAGCTTCACAATCGCATGTGAAAATCGACACAAGCGATATTAGCAACTACTCGATTCAAGACTAAGCCTGGTCACAATTGGGTGAAATATATTAAGACATTACCGGGTTTTTAGAGCATGGTATAAAAATACATTTAAAGCATTTTTTCCTGACCTCTTTGATGCATTTCCTGAATTCATCCCTGCTAATTGTCCAGCTTTTATCCTTGTCTGCCCGACTGAACAGATCAATGATGCGTTCACGCTTTGCTGCGAGGTGCCTTGACAAGATCTCCATTGCTTCTCGTGGGGGCTGCTTTATCTTTGGTATCACTTCGTCACTGGAACTTGATGTTTCTATAATTTTTTTCTTAAGTAAAGATATCAAAAACATAAGTAAATTACAATTACAGAGTATTTTTAATTTTTTAACAAGAAAAAGGAAACTTTAATATTATTATTATTATAAACTTCCTAGACTTCCTAATTTGAAGAGAAAGTCTAACCGACGATCTTCTGATTAATATTTGGTCGCATTATCGACTAAGCAATGAGCAGTGGCGGAGTCAGCAGATGGCAGGAGGTGCAAGCCAAGTGCGACTTCAAGATTTTGACACCCGACCTCTCAAGTCAACCTCACAGTTAATATACATTTTGACCATTTAATCATACAAAAAATATTACGGAACCAAAACATAATATGAATGAATCTATAAATTGTACACTAGTGGTCTACTATAGTCAATGTGATGACAGCAGAAGTTGTGCATGAATACAATAGTTAAAAACCATCACCATGAATTCAGATTTGCTAAATTGACACAGTTATAGTTAATTTTCTATTGCATTTGACCATGAATTATTTCCAAACTTTATTTGGATGATAAACATATGATTGAAATTTAGCTAAAAATAATAGTGTTATTTAGATAAAGATGTACCCAATGAATACCAATAAAGACAAGAAAATGTAAAAATCATTGTTGCGAAGATTTTCACAATGGTCGATAAGAAGACTCACATTGGTTATATTTATTCAAAATGCTTAATGAGTGTTCACACTGAATGATAATAGGAAATTCATACTGGATGGAATGCTAAAGGCTAGACCTATGAGGTGTTGATATTGAGGGTGGGTCATGCAATACACTGCAATATTAAAATATTATTGGGCACTGGATGAAATGTATTGAAGATGACTTTGTGGGGATGATGATCTGGATGGATGGCTTCTTGGGGAGGAGCCACATTCAATGGAATGGCTTATATGAAAATCATGTGGAAGGGATGATCTGTTGGAATGAGTCACTTTGAATATAATGGCTTGTGTAGAGTCTAGCTATTACACACTAGGTAGAATGACTTGTGGGGAGGAGTCAGTATTTATTGGAACTCACTTTTAGATCAGTGGCACACACCTAGCAAGGTGGTGCGTCCATACAATATACGGTACATAAAATGAACAAAATGTAAAACGATCTTACAAGAAAATTAAAGATAAAGAGATTTTAAAAAAAAAAAAAACAACTTAATTAACTTAATTAACAAATTAATATAAATGTAAAATTAAACAATAAGCTTAACGAAGTAAAAAAAAAAAAAAAAGAATCAAATTCAAATATGCGGTAAGCAGTGTAATTATCGAACAGAGTAGTAGTAATGACACAGTTTGAGAAAGGTATACATTTTATCGGTTACAAGATTCTTTACAGCAAAATAAATAGATGGAATGGCTTACGGAGATGATTTGTTGGATGGTGGCAACAGGGCGATGGTGGCAATGAGTAAATTTGCATAGAATGGACTTGTGGAGAGTCTATCTATTACTGTACATTAGGTAGAATGACTAGTGGGGAGGAGTCACACTGGATGGAATGGAATGACTGAACACACCAGATGAAATTACTTGTGGGGAAGTCACTTTCCTGTTCCTACCACTGTACCTGCTATTGGTTAATGAACTTTGACCTATTACGATTTAAAAATACTAAAACTACAGGTTACTACATTTGATTGAGGTATAGCCACAGGAAGATGGAAAGTTGAGGGCACTTTCTGAAGCATGGTGAACGCAACGCACTGACAAAAGATTTTCACTGCCGGCAAAGATAGTTTGGTGTCCGTAAAGCAACTTTCTGTCTTAATTATAAAAAAAAACATAATTCTTCAGATTGATTTAATGACATTATCCCTCTACAGTACACCCTCAACTAATAATGACCTTCCTCTGGCTATGATGATATAGTATAATAAAGGAAAATGGGGTTTGTGCTGTGCTTAAAGAGGGTTAAGTAACCAGTAGGTTATGATCATAAGCTATGAGTATACCAGCTAAAAAATCAAGATGTTCTTTATACCTCATTGTTGAAATTGTCTGACATAGGCTGTTGAAAAGAAAATAATGCATTCCTATCATGAAAACTTAATCATAAGGACACGCTAAATATGCAGCCTAAAAACTTTTTTCAAAATTAAACAATGATTTTATAAATTTGTTGAATTGTTTTATTCTATTTGTATATTTTGTTATTTATTAGTACAGTAAAACTAACAGATTTACTTTTGTTGAATGGTGTTAAAACTTCAATGAACAATAGCTTATTATTGGTGATTATGTAGTTTGATTGATTTTCTTACCTTTTTACTGTTAATAAGAGCAATTCTAGCATCTTTCATCTGCTTGTAGACTCTTTGCTCCAAAGCTGTTTTATCTTTACCCATGAGCCAATTTTCATCCAGGCCCATTTGGTCAAGAGAAGATCGTAACTTCTTCCTGCCTTCCAGCCACTTATGAAATGTATCTGATCGGCCTTCAAGCTCATGTTGATGCTTCTCTGCTTTCTCCTTCTCACTTAATGCTCTATCTTCCGGTTCGAGTTTTATTGGTCCATTCTCTATAGGTGTTAGATATTTAACTGGATGCCTACCCATCATCTCTCTCCCCGATGCTCCATTCATAGGAGGTGCAATAATGACTCTCCGGCGTGATTTTGGTTGTCCCCATATTCGTAGCAAAGTACCGTAATTCTTTGTCTGGCTTAGGTCCCTCTGCTTGTAATACTGAATCTGTTCTTCGATTGGTAAGTACTCTGAGTTGTCAGGATTGAACAACCTCTTCAGGCCGAAGTCGGAGAGCTCCATGCTGCTGCCTGTCTCTTCTAATCCCTCTTAAACTTAATTAATGTGATCATGTCTGTTATATTCTGTGTCATTCCATACTACTGTACACCTTGTTTGGTTTATCTCCTGTTTGACTTTGAGCTACGTGTAGAAATAAGAATGTTTGCTGTTTAATATTTATTTACATACATAAAGTCTAAACTACAATGGATAAACAAATTACAATAAAAACCGTTTCCAATGTGCCAAAATCCTTCCTCAATAATATTACTTTGGCCTAGGCCCCTAGCCTACTACTACTACTCTGAAATCTAGGCTAGGCTAGGCCTGCCATGGCCCTGGGCCGGCCTAGGCCTACTACATTAATATGTTATTTTTAAATCGAGTATAAAAAAATAATTCATTTTGTGGAAGTTTTAGTTAGATAAATTATTAGACAATTATAAATTACCTACTATCAAATTACTGTAATTAAAATAAATGCAACACAATCAGTCATACAGGCTCTAGGTCCTACCTATCCTAAATGCAACAACATTCACAAGACTGAACAGTCAAGAAAGGCAGAATGACTCCTCTTCTGACGTGGTGACGAATCACTACACACTGTCAGCGTAGCCTAACTAGGCCTAAACTTTACCCACAAATTTACATTACACCCAAAAAAAAGAGGCGGAGTTCAGAGAAAGTCTAGCTTAGCACTTGATTTGTTAGGCCCAAATTTATAATTCAGTTACTTACAGGCCTAACCATAACCTGTTTACTTACTCTGTCCTTGCCACACCGCACAGCTAGTTGTCGCACTCCTGCCTCTCTCTCTCTCCCTCTCTACTGTAGTTGTTGCTTAACGTTGCCTTGGGTTACCTATCCAACTATTTTGTAGAGGGCAGCAAACACAACAACACACCCACGAGATCTGACGGATTCAGTCCGTTTAATTTTTACGTCCATTCTCTCATCGCTCCCACAATGCTTCATGCGCCATTTTGCACTAATGTTTTGATCTATCTTTTCAATCTGCGTTCACTGCTTACTGTTTGTGGCATTAGTTTGCCGTCATATTAGTGTTTTCAGTTACCTGAATATATGTGCTCCTGGGATATATATAATAATTGATACAACATGACGATTTTACCTAAGAAAAATACGTCGAAAGAGAAAAAGGACTCAAAACAAGGAGAGAACCACCACTCACACTCTCAACATAATTCAAGTAGTGAACACAGGTCAAGTGGAGGAGCTCGCCCGAAGTGTAGGAATTCGCCTCCACGGTGGTTATCCAGTAATTCTAGGGAGGAACGGCACTCTTTAAATGAAAGTAGATTAGCGTTTCGAGAAAACTATGAAAGTTATGAAAGAACAAATCGACCACAGAGTGCGAAAAGGGCACGCCACAGGTCATCCCCTCATCGTGAACATGTAGTGGGAGGGGCAAGGACAAGCACAAACAGCAGCAGTAGCAGATTGGAAGAAGAAAATGAACAAAGGGATGCAGAAGCTAGCTTAGGATATGAGGAAAGAAATAGTGAGGATGAATATGATCTGTCTTCCTGCTCAGAGCAAGAGTTCGATGAGGTATGAATATAATTGAAGTTACAGTATGTTCTTTATTTCCCATCCAGAATATGAAATTGGCATTCAGCATCCCTGTCCCTGAGACGTTACCAATCAATATGGTTGGACCATGAGGCAAATTGGATGGATCTCCAGGCCAGGTTGCAGAAACAAAGTTTGATGATCTACCAGATTGCTGAGTCCACGTTGCCGAAACCCAGTTTGCCAACTCAGGAACCGTGAATCCCAGTGTGCCAAAACCCAGTTTGTCGAAATCAATTAAAACTAAAACATAGCAGTGAAACATTAAAAACAGCATAAAATTCACGATGGAGAATTCTCTTACCATGACTACATCTGTACGAAATGGTAGTGCTAGTGGAATGTCAAGGCCGGCCAGAATTGCCAACGTTGAGAATTTAGAAGCCATTCCAACTCGATGCGATCACTGCAGTATTCGTATAATAAATTGCAGCTTTATATTTAATACTGTATTGTAGTTTAATATTCTTTCTGTGTTATTCTGTCAATCAAACTTAAATCACAATTCAGCTATTAGCAGAAAATTGATTAAATAGGCCTATCAGATAAAATGTCAGGCATATATATATAAAGTATGTAGAGGAATAATAAATAAAGGAAATAAAAATTAACAATCATCAATTATACACACGTGCCACCGGTAGTTCCAGAAATTTGCTGATGGGGGTCCAACATGTCCTCGTAATCAAGGAGCCGACTTGAGCGTCAGTCGGGGTTTCAGCATAAAAATGCCTTCAAGTGTGTTTTCCTACAGCATTGTTGTTTTCCAGTACCGTATTTTGCCTTTTAAATATAAATACGGCGCCTCCCTGACCCCACCCATCATTTTTTCAAAAGAACAGTGTGCTGTATTTTTGTACGACGGTGACTGCAAGATTTGGCATACTGGGTTGTCATGATTTTGGTGAACTGGATTATTTTTATATTAAAGAACAATTTATTGTATTTTTATATTAAAGAACAATTTATTGGCCATCTTCAGGGAATTTAATAGTGAATTATTAATTTGTATTGGAATTAATAAATTTAAAGCAGAAAGGGAGGGGTGGGGGTAATTGAAATTATTAATTGTCTCCTACAGTATCTCTTTGAGAAGTGATCTACACGTACATACTTATATTTTTGATATTCTTTTGTTTGTGGCTTATTATAGTTGGAAGTGAGGTTTGAGAAGTTAGTGCAGCAAAGACGAGGTCTCATTATCAAGAAGATGGTTCCTGATGGTGGTTGTCTCTTCAGGGTTGTTGGTAAGTATTTCCTTTATCAAAATCATGGTGTTAATATAAACATGGCGGTATAAAATTATCATAAGCACCAAAGTGAAAACCATATGTTGTTTTTGACTGTAAGAATACCATTTGTGGGTAGAATGTGTTTAGTAGGCTTTTATTTCACTATCTATACTCCCATCAAAATGGCAATGTTATTTTACTGAAATCTTGTTTATGAAGCTAAGAAACAGTGTCCAGAGTAATTTTAATTTTTTACCATACTAATGGTTTTATCATTGAATATTGTATTATTCTCCGTTTATGATCTTGTATCTGTTGTGAAAGCGTATTTCATTATTATTTTATTGTTGTTACTATTATAGTTTTATAGCTTGGAAGCATTTGATGTACATCTAACCTACATTTATCCAATATTCGGTTTATTTTATTTCATTTCACCCAACAGCATAAGTGCCAATAACAGGGAGATTAAAAATACAATGAAATATAAAGTCACTCAAAAACATTCAAAAATATTTGAAAACAGTTTACAATAATTATTTTTTCATAAAATTTAAACTCATATAAACTACGTCAATCATTTACATATGTTATAATATTATATGATTTTCTTCATGGTTCTTGATTTGTATTATATATTTACAGTAGTTATTCATTTACTATGGAATTCCTTGATAATACTGTTCATATAAAATTATTATTTCTGTTGCTTAATCTATAATAATATTTCTTTTGTGTTGTAAATATTCTGTACCTGTTTCTTTATTGTATTATTAACATTTTATTTAAACTGACTTATTGTACCTGCAAGTTTTTATAAGGACTAATCAATTCTGAATCTAAACTTTAATTGATTTTCTACAACAATGGCATTTCCAAAATGTATTTTACTATAGAAATTTATGCTAATTACTCAATTTAAAATTTAGTGACACTGGTTTTGGATTGGCAAGCCTCATATATGATTTTGTCAATCTTACTTCTGAAAATCTGCTTATTAAATAAGCCGATATTCTGAACATGTCTAAGTTGTTATTATATAAGAATACTTTTTTATTCTTAGCTGACCAAGTTTATGGTGATCAGGAATGGCATTCAATCGTTAGACAGCATTGCATGGACTATATGGTAGGTGTAGTAGCATGCGCATTAGTCTCTGCAATAGCAGAGAGAATATGCATTATACTATTAGTTCACTTTATATAATGTAAAGAAATATGCTCTTCAGAGGCAGATACATTACAACTACAAATTAGACATGTGCTCAATTACTTTGCTCTTTCATAGCAAAATGTATGTAATTGTCATTTCACCTCACAGTTTCATCATGTGCTATTTTGTAGTAATTCATTATATTTGAATTGATAATTAGTTCAATTGACCTTATTGATATCTTTTATTTAGGGGCATTGCATATCGTGCTCATATTAATTTTAAAGTGTCTCCTTTTCTAATACAAAACTGTCACCATTTGCTATGTTTGTATTATTTTGTATGATGGGTGTTTTTATAAGGGAAAAAAAAACATTTGTACTCAGCAGAGGTATTACTGTATGTTTTATAATTAAAATACATATTATGCTCTAAAGTTGATAATATATAGACATAAAAGCCATCTATTATATTTTATTGAGCATCACTAGCTGTTTAGGTCTTCAAATCGTACATTGTACATAAGATTACTCCACTTACTGATTGTGTATTGAAGCAAGATTATGCACATTGCCACCTTTGGCCTTGAAGGTCCATCTATGCCTATCTCGGGTTCTGGCATAAGTTGATCTCATTATTATTCATCAACGTCATTCTCAGATAAGTGATAAAAATTGCTCTTTTGTATTACCCCATGCTTATATTATTTGTTTTTCTTTTGCAGATGAAAAATGCTGATTATTTCTCACAGTTTGTCACTGAGGATTTTACAACTTATATTAATAGAAAGAGACTAAATGATTGCCATGGAAACCATGTTGAAATGCAAGCTATGTCTGAGATGTATAATAGAAACATAGAAGTCTTTGTGTACAGTTTAGGTATATATAAGTGATATGAGATAATTTTGCTTACTGTATTGTCATAATATTAAATAAATTATTATATACATCTTTATACTGTACTTGTTTTTACATGTATATTCTGTAATGCTACATTGCTAGTTTTAGCACTAAACCTGAACGCCTTAAATGTTCCCTTTGAGAAAAAAATTACTCTAGTATAAACTAAAACTTGATTAAAGTTTATACAATGATTGTTGTTTTATGTTTTCAGGCAAACAATATCAAAGAATAATGACTTTGAACTTGTGGTGGCAAAATCTCAAATTTTAACTTTGAAGTCTATAAGAAAAATCATTGAAAATTTAAAAGATTGTATTGCCGACTACTGTACTTCTGTATTTTAAAGTAAACAAATTCAGATCCCTTGGACTCTCCACTTATTGTACAACTAAGTACAGTTTAAATTATCTTTTTTACTGTCTTTTTACAGAGCCAATTAATACATTTCATGGAATAAATGTAACAGGAAATGCACCTATACGTGTTAGTTACCATCGAAACATTCATTACAACTCAATGGTGGACCCTTACAAGGCTACGATAGGAGTCGGACTTGGACTGCCGTCTTTTAAACCTGGGGTGAGTCAAGTCAGTCGTATAAATATCAACCAATCAAACCAGTCATTTTAATAAGCACTGACCAATCGAATCCATTATTTATGAAAACCAACCAATCAAATTTGTCACGTTTATTTTTAACAATTCATATTTTTTTCTTCTTGTAGTTGGCCGATCGTACCCTGATGAAAGATGCAATAAAAATGTCAGAAAATACTGCTATCGAGCAGACAATGCTGGAGGACAAAGTCGCTGCCACTGACTGGGAAGCAACGTCGGAGGCCATCGAGGAACAGGTCGCACGTGAATCCTACCTACAGTGGCTTAAGGACAATGAAAAAAGAGCAACAAAAAACACAGTACGATAACTGTTCACAATTTTTCCAATCTAAGTATAGTCGAATAAATACAACCATGGAATCCATTATTGGTCAATGGGCTTTCCAAGATGTTGCTAGCCATACGCCTTTTGGTTCCCATGTATACATTAAATTTTTTTTTTTTTTTTTTTTTTACATTCAAAATTCCAGTAATTACAGTTGTTTGGGAATGAAGTATAAAATTGATAATAAATTAAGTGTTTGTCTTTGTTTTTAACTTGCAGTCGAGCACTGCCAGTGCTACTTGTAGTTCAGCCCCTGTTGATCCGCCCCATCGTCGGGACATGGCGGAAGAGAGCCACCACAGAGGGGGACTATCACCACGGCATAGATCTGGAACATCTTCAGACCCTAGTTGTTCAACCAGTTACCACGACCAGACAAAACATGCAGGGTCACCGCCTAGAAGTCCGTTGGCTAGCACTAGCGGCTCAGTTGCAATGCAAGGTAGTGGAATTTAAACGAATGATCTCAGCACACATAGATACTACCACAAATGCTGGTCTTCAAAGTGTTACTACTTTGCATTACATTTCCCACAAGCAACTAAGACTTTAATTGGTAGGTAATGACCTGTAGGCTGTAAAAATAATCCCATGTCATTCTTGTTGCAGATACTGCCAGTAGTAGTGAATCATCGCTTTCCTCACTAGCGTGCTCCAGACTATGTGCGGCCCCAAGTACAAGCGAAGGTGCTCAGGCACCCGAGAATCAAATGCAAAACATATCACCAGGAGATTTTGGTAAGTGGCGAATCATTTAACCCACAATTAATATTTCATACGTTTTTCAATCATGAAGTACCATTGTTTTTTTTATTTTCTATTAAGTCACGGCACTTTTCATTTGTGTTTTTTTACAGGGTATTTAGCATGGGATACAGAAGACGCAATAGTTGCGTCAATACTAGCGCAGTCTCAACAAGAATATTTTGACAGCTTGAAAAGAACTGGACCGAGCTAATGCATTGTCGCCGTAGCATTTGAATCAGAAATTAATATTTAAACCATGCTGAACAGGAGATTACAAATAGAATAGTGAAAAGTGGGAAATAAATAGTTACCAATTTTTTGAAAATTTAAAGCATTTTATGAATAATTTTAATTTATATTTCTTTTATTGATGCAGAAATACTTATATATAAATTAGTATTTACTGGTAATAGTTTGGTATTGCTAATTTGAGCTTTTGTTCTTAAGATATGTTTACACTATCTAGTTTAATGTGACATATACATGTGGTTTGTCCCTATATGGGTGTGATGTGACATCATGCCCATATATGGGTAATTCACAGATTTACTTGTAATACTTTTCTATTGCTAATTTGAGCTGTTGTTCTGAAGCTGTGTTCACACTATGCAGTTTAATGTGAAAAATACCTGTCATTTGCCCATATATGGGTGTGATGTGACATCATCATGATAATTCACAGTTATTCGTCACAGTTGGATAGTGTGGACAGAGCATTACTCTTTGCTAAGTTGTAGATAACACACTTTCATAATTATAGCATGCTTTTCCCTGGTTGTTTTTTAAACTTATTTACTTTAGTTCATGTGAAATTTGATGTAGGTAAGTTCTAGAAGTTGTCAGTTCAGTGATTACCTATATGTTTTTTTTCTCAATCCATGCCACTACTGTACACCTATATACTGTATTAGCTTCAGAAATTCTTCTACTGGAAATGGAGAATAAAATCCTAGTTTATGCCTGTTAATACCTATTCTGTAGTTACGATATATTCAGCACACATAAGTAAACAAAATGGTCAGCAGGGTGCCAAGCGAACACCATGAACCGAGAGCCAAATGCAAGATGTGGGTATCCTCTACACCCCTGTCCAAAATAAATACAGTATAAGATAGCCTATATAACTTTTTTAAAATATGGTAGTGTTAAGCACAATTGCAATTAAGGAAAGTACATTTTTAAAATTATTATTTAACATCTATGATATAGCTTGCTAATGAAGGGTGTTTCACATAACGAAATTCCATAATTATGGTATTCTAGTTACATAATATATTCATATTCAATAATTTTCCAGAACAACCTGTAAACAATGCATAAAGTAATGCAAGTGAAGTGCATATTGTCCTTTGCAATGTGTTCATTTTTTCAATATTAACTCCAGACTTTTGCAAGTTCTATTAGTTTTCTGTGTTATAATTATTTATGATAGTCAGCTGGCAAGTCCTGGATAATGGAGGTTAGGTACCCTAACACCTTTGTTCTTTCATTTTATAATAGAAACATTAATGTATGTTAACATAGATCTACGCTGTTGCTGTACAGTAAGTCTGATATTTCTGCAGTTTGTGCAATTTTGCAATGAAATCTTTTTTTTATTTGCATCCAACTTGTTTGTTTATATAATACATCTGCTTTTATTGGGACTTGGCCATTGGATAGTAATTCATTTACTTGAGGTATCTGTAATGATCCAAACCCGAAATGCAAAGTTTGAATGTGGTTACATTATCTGTGTATTTCTTGAGCCTGCTGCACACACAAGTAAATAGTTTTCCAGTTATTCGTGGCGATTGACGAAGCTGTTTACTTGCAAGCAAGCAGACTTTAATTGCTGCACAGGAGTAAAACCAATCTGCATGTTAAACATGACATGCAGATTGCAAACAAAAAGTTTTCAAATACAGTTGAACTTGCCAAAGTCGAATCCAAAATGCCATTGAAAAATTGTTTTGACTTAGATAAAATTTACTGTTAATTAATGGAAAACACAACAGTTTGCCATATAAAATAAGTTTGTTTTGACTTAGATAAAATTTGACTTACAGAGATTGTTAATTAATGGAAATAACAACAGTTTGGCATGTAAAACAATTTTGACTTAGAAATTATTCAAGTTAGGCGAAGTCGACTTCGGCGAGTTTAACTGTACTAAATTTTTTCAGATACGGTTTCAACTTTCTATTAATTTTAATGTATCTTGCCTATCAGAAAATACATGGTCAGTAATGATAGTTTGTATATGTGGCCTGCTCTGGGTTTTGTGGTCTCCCTCTTTGTTAATATATTTGTTAATATAACGATACAATACTATTACCACTGACATTAATTTTATTCAGATACTGTATATCAATTGTTCCTCAATAATTTTAAATAATTATCAATAAAAATCATTAGTGGTATGTAATGAAATTCTGAAGGTAGTCATATATTTATTAGTTAAACCAATTAGGAATTTTGACATTGGAACTCTGTGGTTAAGGTCCACTCTCAAAATTGACTATGTATGAATTTAAAACTCAGGTAATATGTTTAAGACTTTCATTATCCTACTAAAAGTATCCAATACTGATTTTTCAATATATTCAACCGTTTTTTGTTTTGTTTTTGCCATTGTTCATATCCAATTTATTTGAGTGGATTTTTTTTTATTTCAAAATAAAAGAATTCCAGGAACACTGGTCAAATTATTGTGTAATTCAACAATATATCTATTGTAAGAATTTAGTAGATTTTCATACTGTAGGTTACCATATCTACGGAGGTGGTATTGTAGAATGTAATTCAGAGTAGGGGGCTTAAATGTCGTTTACTGTAACCGTCAATTGTAACAGCTGGATTTGTACAATCTAATTCAGAGTAGGGGCATAAATTAAGTACACCACCATCAATTGAACCAGCTGGTTCGTTTTATTCAATTCATTTACGCTCAGTCCACACTCAAATTTTATGTGACAAATTTGTGTGATGTGCCCATGTCATGTTATATCCAAATATCAGCACATCACATTTTTTTTGTCTTTAAGATTTGAGGGAAAGTGGAATGTAGACATGTATATTTTGCTCTATATCCTGGAAAAAGTGATACTAAACTTGCCATTACATTTTCATATGTTGGTGAATGTTAATACAATGTTGAGTATACTTGTAAATGTAGAGTACAAGATGGAACATTCTATTTAAGATTGTCAATTTAGAGTATATCCATGTAACATCACACTTACTACACAAAAAGCCTTAACTGTATTTTAAGTATGCTGGCATACCAGTCTGATCAACAAACATTTGAAAGTGCAAAAAGATCTATAAACAAAAAATGGAAAGGGGTGGGGTGCAGTGATTTTTGTTTCTTTAATTCTTTAGATAGTGCAAAATCTTCTATAAGAATACTCTTATTTCGGTGGCGTGAAGGACAGAATCTCGCGTTCGGCACTACGCTTTCATTGTTGTGAATCAACACTTAAATTTGTTCATATTTATTTCAATGTTTAATATTGTTAAAGAATCATTAATTTTGATTCCAACTATTATTTACTTGACACATTTTAATTCCCTTGTTTTTAAATACCAAGCACGCAGTTAGTAATAATTAAATGAGATAAGTTAGGCACTTAAAAGAATGTACGCTACTCTACTCAAGATTCCAAAATAATAATCGGCCCGGCCGCGCCTCGTCTGTATGTGCTGTCAGCATATTAAATGTACATTGTTTTGGCTTTTAATTTCTTGGTCTAGCTGCATTGTATTATAAAGATGCTAACCGTCAATAGGAGGCGGTATTTTCATTACTTTTCTTGGAATTGTAGTGAGTATTGTTGTAATGCTGTCAAACGTGATGAAATTATGTTGAGCCATGCAATATAAAGCATTGGAAGAAATTAGCTCAATTTATTTCATCTGTATCTAAGAATAAGCTATTAAACAATTGATTTTTTACAAGGAAAACAGTTTGGTTAAATCTTTGTGTTGTAGTCATATCACTTTATTAATATTCATTCATAAAATTTGATTAAAAAAAAAAAACTTTTCAAGTTGCATTCAACAAGACATACAGTACTGTAGTCTGTTGTAATTTAAATCCTTTGACCACTGTGTTTCTACACTCCAAGATGCATTTTATTTTGTCATGCTCATATGTTAGGCTTCAGTACTGCATTACATGCTGCATCAATTTTGATTTTTGGCGTGCGCTTTATAACCACAAGGAAAAGGCACAATATCAATCCCTTTCCCAATGCTGTCTCTATTTAAAATATTGTACTACTGTATGTTGTACATATGCCTACAGCATATTTATTTCCTAGAAAAATTAGTTGCCTTGTATAATATATAGAAGTTTCTGAAAATGCCAAAGCTCACAGGGTAATGTGTACCAGTGCCACTTATGTTGAGAGTGGAAAAAGTATGTTTGGTTGGGCGTTGAAAAGCAGTCTCGCACATGGGCATGAGAATTGTGCATTTGAGGGCTCTTTTTGTCTTACTGAGGCACTGTATTACAGAACGAGCTTCAATACTGCATCTCTGTAATAATAAAGTTGACGGATTGAAGGCAGAACAGCCATAGGCTGAAGTTTGGTTTTTATCGAAAAATAATTTGTATCATACCGTTTCAAACTCTCGCGCTCGGAAACAAACCTCACGTATATTCGGTAAATAAAATACAGTATATTGCCAAAAAAACATGTTGACCTATTGTTGCTATATCACTAAACATGCATTCATATCTTTCTATATCAAACAAGCTGCAAAGCTGTGAATATGTTGTTGCTCTACCACACACTATCGAACAGATTAAAGAACGACTGCAACATGTATCTCATTTCAAATTAACAGGCACGTTAAAAAAATGTGGTTTTGTAACACTTTTTTAGTAGTAAAAATAGTACTCTAAATTGGCAGAGATTGTCAGAAGGTGTTTGGCCGAACCACAGAAACCCACTCTAATACGGGTCTGATCGCAGTTAATCAAAGATGGAGTCCTGAACGGTTACAATTTCAACAAATATGATTGCGGTTTAAATGCCTTTAGCCCACAAAGGAGCAACTTTAATGATTTCAATAACCTCATAAACAAACAATACAAATGATTAACTAATTTTATACTGACTCACAATCAGCATTACAAAAAGATTTTTGAGAAACAAATTAAAAGCAATGATCTTATATACTGTACTAGCATCGCATTGCGATCGGTTGTAACAATTGCGACTCCCAATCGCACAGTAAAATCATGTGTGAAAGCTCACCAATAGTAGTCGATATCGCAATTGTTACCTGTTATGATTACCCGATTACCACGGAATCCGATTGCAATGAATCACAACTAATTCCACAGGCACTGTTTGGCTGAGGTCAGTCAACATAGGCCTAGCCACCGGAGGCCTAGGCTCTAGAATGTAAAGTTTGTTTGTGTTGTCTGAATGCATTCGTTGATTGCGATCGGGAGTAATCAGTTTTGGATTACCACCGATTACATCACAACCGATTGCAACAGAGTGTAGTCTGAATAGGGTATTAGTTGATTGTACTGTACAAATCATACCAAATACCATTTTCTTAAATTTCTAGGTGCCGATTATTAATATAGCAATTAATCCTTTAATATAGGATGAATGCACTACAAGTAATTCAAAATTGTTTGATAACAATGACCAATAGAAAGACATGCGCATTGCAATATACAAATAACATTCCCTATTCTACAATTTTTGTTTGTAATAATTTGCTAATGTTTATTAAATGTACTCTAGATGACCACACAGACAAATCTATCTTCTTGATTTTACCTAGTTTTGTATATTTGGCACTGCTACAGACGCCTGGTTTGGATGGAACATCATTTACTGGGTTTTTAAAAATAATTATACTTTCACTTAATAATACCTTCAGACCTTCCTTCAAAATCACCAACCACGACAACATAAACAACAGCAAACTAGTCATGCCTGCCCAAGGTTGGTCTGTTGTTTCGTAAAATTCAAAAATTTTTGGAAAATTACTGGTAGGGCCTACAGAATGGTTGGCTGCCCCACTAACATTGCTGGATGGATGTGCATAGGCCCACCCAGTTTTGCTGCTATGTGCATGCTAATCTGGTGGTAGCCACTGTGTGTGCGCTGAACCGCGGAGATCTCTAGGTCCCCGGTTCAATTCCCATCGCTGCCTCTCCTTGTATTTCAGCTGGAGGGCTAAAATACAAGTTATAATAGCGCACCGTCTTTCGGATGAGACATTTAAGCCATTGGTCCCGTGTGCATTTATGGTCCATGTGCACGTTAAAGAACGCAGTACACTCTTCGGAAAAGAGTAGGGGAATGTCTTTTGGTGTACTGCCCAATCACCACCAGAAGGACCCCACTGGAAATAAGTCTTCTAGACTTTCGTGGGCTATCCTTGGTGTTTACACACCGAATAAATCCAATCCAATCCAAGATGGGACGGGGCAGATGCAGGACTTTTTGCCGAAGTATGTGGGAGTTGGTTTGCGTTGCATTCGAGTGCCTATGGTCAGATAGACCTACCCCTTTTACATTGCAATCAAAACTCCAGACACAACCAAGAATTTTACAACACCCGGGCTAGAAACTCCCAAGTTCTGATGTAGTGTAGTGAATTGGATTCCGGATTTAGGTCTTACCTGGCGTATACCGCAGCCCTGGTCAGGTAGATCTATACTGTACTTTGCTAGCAACAGGCTAGACCAAGACACTTATCAAATTAAACCTCCTGTGCTCACACAGACTTGATAAAAAACTGCTGATTTAATTTTCAATATAAAAAAAAAATCTGTGGATACATTGCTTCAATAATTACACTAATTGCGGCTTTGTCACGACGAGAACTCGAGCAAAGTGATGATCACCATATCATAACAAAACTGAGGGCGGTATTTGAACCTGTGTTCGTTGCCTGTGTAAAATGGGAGCAACTCGAGATCAACCCGGACTTTTTCCTTTGATGTAAATGGAAATGCAATTGCGAATACATTGCTTCAATAATTACACTAATTGCGGCTTTGTCACGACAAGGAACTTTAGCGAAGTGATGATCACCATATCGCAACAAATCTGAGAGATGTATTTCAACCCGCATTCGTTGCCGGTGTAAAATGGGCGGAAATCGGGATCAACCAGGACTTTTTCGTTCTATGTACATGGAAATGCATCCGGTATCATTCTGGAATTAACACAGGCTTATTCTCACCTTGGCAGTGTAAAAGGGGTACGAGATGGGGGCGCTAATGTCAGAAAGGTTAGTGTAGGATGTTTCCTTTCTATGAACCTTTCGGCTTAGCGCTGCCCCTTGAATATTGTTGCGAAGATCCCTACGTAAACATGTGCATTTGCGGGACACACAATTGTGAGACAAGCACATATTCTTAGCAATGCTCTGACTGGCCATTGTTAAGTTTGATTGTCACTCCAGAAATGTCCACAGTGGTGCCAAGGCCTTAAGCTATTTTAATCGCTTAATAATTTCTAGCTTGATTACTTACATATTTAGCCTACTTCGCCTATAATGTTTTTTTATATATAGATATGTACTAATAATCTTGTTTTTTTTTTTTTACTTTCATATATTTTATATATACTAAAATACAGTACTGTAGTTTCTTTTATATATTTTCATCACATACTTAGTGCGACAGTGCATTTCAAAATTAAACTACACTTATATAATAAACTTAATTTTTTTTAACTTCACTTATTTATATATTTAATTGTAATTAGTAAATTAGTATGACTTATGCTTGCAACTTATTTAACAGTTTACATAACAGTATAGCTACTGTGTATCATTTTTTGAACCGGGGTTTCCATGGTCTTAGCAGCTTTGGTCTCTAATTTGAATAATTTAAAAAAAGTGGTCTTTAATTAGAGGGGTCTTTAATACACCAAATTAGTCACCAAAGATGATGTCATCAAAATTTGGCTGAATGGGTATTAAAGATGTTTACATCGCCAAAGTCCTATGCTAATGCACTGAGCGGAGTCAAACCTAGTTTTTGAGTTATGGTTTTTGTTGTGAAATCAGTCGAAGTTTTTGAAGAAGAGCTGATGTTTAAGAGATTGCGTGATTTTCACAGCGGCGCATTTTCAGAAAAGCAGACCAAACAAATTCAAATGCTCATTAATTTTTCATTTTGAATATGAACAATTTTTCATCAGCAATTTTCAAACACAGGAAAATGCTCAAACTTTCTAGAAAGGAATCATCAACTTGAAAGTTGCATGCAAATATCACATTCCACTTGCCAAAGAATGACTGAATCAACTTCATTCGCAAAAGACTACAGAGCTCATCACCGGTGGTACAATTTTTGATGATACGTTTGACAAGCTGACAGACTCTTGTGTCGAATCCATCATCCCCACTACTCATCAACACCTTAGGTTCGAATGTTGCAAGATTTATCAACCCACTTCCTGTTGGCTTCTTGTACACTAGGATCTTTTCACTGTCATTGACAGTAAAAATTTCTGCCAGATTTTCACTGAATGGGTACCTACAGGTGAAGTCACCAATAACGCATGTCCAAAACTGTCCATACTTGTTGTCCATCTTATGTCCAATATAGTTGGCTCGTTTGAAATTCAAAGATTCTCCAGGATTACCGGCCATGATTTGTCTGTATGTCTCCGACGTGGCATGGGGTTGCTCTTCGACTTCTAGGGTGTAAGACTCACGAATAGTACTGATCAGGAACTTCTGTTGTTCTTTCGGCATTTGGGATGGTCCACGTACTTCTATTTTCACATCTATCAGTAGAGAGAATAACAGGAAACTAACTTAAAGCAGCAACATTCCTGATTTTATCTCTTTATATTTTTAAAAGAAAATTTAATGTTGAAAACATTAGTCATAAAATACTTGAACCACTGTTCAAAAATATATTTTATATCTTATCCAAATTTGAATTACATTATATTGCTTACGAAAGGCATTCTCTATGTGCAAACTCTGGGTCAGAACCTAATATTATGTAAACTTCTTTCATTAGGCTAATAATCTCACTGTCCTGCTTTTTATGTGCCTGAGGGCAGCACTCATCTCTTACTTCTACAGCAGAACTTAGCATCACTGCCATTTATTGCATGATGGAGAATGGAAGCACAGAGCATTGTCTTATAATATAATTAGAGGGTGAAAGCCTAAAGACCTGCCATTTATTGCATGTTGGAAGCCCTTTTCCCATAATTTTTATGCTGTAATTGCCCAGCAGGTCTCTGAAGCTCGGTCATGGCATAACTGGAGGGTGGTTCCCTCATCCCTGCCAGATTTTTGTGGCAGAAGTGGCAGTATTTTGCTCTGCTTTTTACAGCCTAAAATTGGAGGATGGCTGAACTCAGTCCCAACCTTTATTGCATGACAAAACCTGCAATCCTGTGATTGAAATATAAAAACTACTAAACCAGCACAGGCAAACAACGATAATGGAGAGAAGAATGATGATAATTAATGGAATAAGACAATTTAAAGCAACAATACTCTCACCTGGGGTTTCAGTTTTCTGATCTACAACTAACCCCAAAGTCATGAATTCCCCTTGCACCCTCTCAACGCACACTGTGTTTGGCTTGAATTTATGGCAAGGGTCATCCGGAGCACTTGGGATATGAACTGCTGATGTCACCTCTTTAGTTATCTTCAAAATATCACCATGGCTGCGAGCGAGATCATAATCTTCACCATTTAGCTGCAGGTTAGTTAGATATGCTGTCAACTTTGACAATGATTCGTTACTCGCTGCAATCTCTGAATGTTTTTCAGAGATGGTTTGCTTCTCAGTGTTGGCAAGATCTTGAATTTTTTCCAAGATGTCATCATGCTTACTCTGGATGGCTTCCATCATCTCATCATTCACCTTCTTCAGCTCAACCTGTGCAATTTCTGTTGATGAGTTGACATTCTCTTCTACTTCCTTAAGCTCATTCTCTGCCAATGTCAGCTGTTCTTGAATTGTCACCACCTTTCCAATTCCTTGCTCTATATCTTTTCTAGCTTTTTCTGCAGCTTCACGGAGATTCTCACATACGTGCCAAGGCCGGGGATGATCTAAAGTTACACAATCTCGGCACACTGGCTTCTTGCATTTCTTGCAGTAAAAGTTTAAACGCTCACCGTGGTCCTCGCATCGCACGTCAGTATATTTTTTCTTTCTTCCCGAAGCAACCGAGTCTCCACCTCCTCCTAGCTTAGACTTAATTGACTCAATCATACTGGTCACGAAAAACATCGACTTCAGGCTCGATATTTTACCATTTCTCAACTGGGTGACCTCTCTACACGTTGGGCATTCGATACGCTTATTTCGCTTCCACTTTTCAAGGCATTCTGCACAGAAAAAATGAAGACACTGCAATAATTTTGGGTCTACGCAGTCCTCCATACATATCTGACAATTGAGGTAATCAGATTTTAACTCCTCCAAAGGCTTATTTGCCATTTCAACGGTGTATAATGCTAATTATAATCGACAAAACAGCAAAAGAAAGCTCAAACAAGTGTTCCACGAACAAATCTGGAAAATCCCAGGTGACGAACGTGTTATTTGCTTTGAGTTAATTCCAGAGGGCGGGCTAGTACTTTTATGAAACAAACTTAGTAGCCTTGATAGTCTTCCGATTACCGCCAGGTTCTCTGACAGACAGGCATTTTCAAACTGTGTGGGGAAATATCAGGGTGGATCCACTTTATGCGTAAATTCAAATAATCTGGACCCATTTTACACGAAAATATGAATAATGTGGACACATTTTTATTAAAAGGTGATCCATTCGCAAAATACGAATACAGTAATCTGGACCCATTTTCTTTAAAGTTACCCATTTTACACAACAAGCTAAGAGAAATCTGGACCCATTTTTCAAAAAGTGGACTCATTTGTGCATAGGCCTATTAACAACCAGAGGCGGATCCAGTAGGAGTAGGGATGACACGGGGGAACGTTCCCCTCCCCCGTTTTGCCACTAAATTTTAAAAATTTAATGCAAATCAACGTTATGTGCTTCTCACTTATATACCGTACCTATTCTGAAACTGTTGTGCCCTCCCACCCAACTTTTGATGGCCCATCATTTTCGCCTGGCCCACAAGGCTTGTGCCTTATTTGCCTAATGGTTAATCCGGCACTGCCCACTACCCCAGTACACAGTGTTAGTATTTTGTTTTATTCATTTTATCTGATCCCAGAAAAGAATTTGTATTAGCTAGAGAGAGCAATGCAATACACGCGTTAAAATACTAGTTGTCTTAAATCCACATCCCAGGCCAGGTCTTTTGAGATAGAGAATGTTATAAAGTTTTGTTTAATATGGAATACAGTATTAGTAATATAAAAAAGTGAAAAAAACTGTGCTAAACACGAAATTTGTAATTTGTCCAATCATTATAATTACTGTAGACCTAATAGTTAAAGCCTAGACCTATAGTTAGGCCCAAGTTGTCTGGGTATGAGGCTCAGATCATTGGGGACGAGTGGACACGCCCCCCCCTCCCTATCATATTTTTAAAGGAGTGGGGGAGGGAGTAGTCCTCTCACTTTTCACTTTGCAATGTAATTTCAGAAGTAAAGAATATGAACATTTTTGAAATGAACTGCATAAATGACCCAGGGTTTAACGAGAGCGCTGTTCAGCCAGAGCAGACAGTTCATCTTATCTTATGAGCAAGATACCAGTATTTATTTCTGCCCACATATAAGATTGATTTTCGGCTCACAAAGTAGGTAAAGTAATAAAAAACAATAATTTTTTTCTATGGTACAATACAGAGACTAATTAGATCTCTCTCTATGATTGCCGAAAATCACATCATAAAAGGTCATGATGATGTGATGATGATAAACTTCATTATATGAGTGTCATTGCCAGTTTTACCTCAGCCGTCTTGTGAGGTACGTAGAACAAGCAGGGGTGAGTTCGGGCGGGACTGTAACCCCCTCCCCCCACGCCAGCGGGATCCAGGAGGTAGCGCATTGACGTTTTAGGACTGTTTTGAGGGTATAAACTGAAATTTGTATTAAACCATCATAAATAATATTAATAGGACTAACAATAATTATAACTCAAAAGTGGCGGATCCAGGAATTCGAAAGAGACGTGGCCCAGGGACAGATTTTCACAGATATAAGAGGATTGACCAACCTCAGCCCCGCCACGGCATGGTTGGAGCTGAGGCACGAACATTTTGAGGAAATAGTATCTCTAGATAGCCGGAAATGACACCTTTATATAGTAAAATTCATCATCATCACCACTATCACCATTTTATATAGGTCTATGTGAAAATAAATTTATCAAGGGATTTTCAGCAACCATATCTAATTAATATGTGTGATATATCATAAAAAATAAAACTTCAAAACACTGTCTTTTATGTATTTACTTTACATACTTTAAAGCCGTGAGTCCGCAACCACCTCAGCCCCACCTTTGGTTGGGGCTGAGGTGAAAAAAAATTGAGGAAATAGATGGAAATAGATCATTATCACATCACCATAATAGTCAAAATGAAGCGCCAACAAATTTCTCATGATCTTTTTATTAGGGATTTTCTGCAAACATAGATTTAGGTAACCCAGGACAGGCCTAACTATAGCTTACTCAGCTTTAACTACAAAAATAATTATGATTATTGGACAAATTACAAATTTCTTTGTCGCTTTTTACACAATTTTCTTAATTTTTCAATATTATTACTATATTATCATTATCACCATCATTATCGTCGTCATCATCATTATTATTTCTACACTACTACTACTACTACTATAGTAGTAGGCCCTATTATTAAACAAAACTTATATAAAAGCTTGCAAAAAGATAAAAACCAAGCTCAAACATACATTACAGTATCACATTTCTGATTTAAGCCGATTTTTTTTTTGTTACATAAGTTTGAAATATCCACCCTGAGTGGAAATCCGTTTTATACATATAATCCCGAAAATATTATTTGTTTATTCTAATGAATATTCCACTGGGTTACTATCAGGGTAGCGGGTGCCTTATTAATAGTTGTGTGGCTTTCTCAAAGCACAGGCCACAAACACATAATAATATACAGTAGGAGTCAATTAGAAATTGTACAGCATTTGACCTTCAACTCTGTGTTTTTTGCTTTTATTAATTTTTTTTTTAATGCAGAGGCGGATTTAGGGGGTGGGCAGAAATTTTGGAATGTAGAAATGAAAAAAAGAAAAGAAAGAAAGAAAAAGAAATAATTGACCGCCCCAAACGCCTCAGAGGTTATTTTTGGACCTCTAGAAAACAAAATATATGCGGGGGAATGCCCCGGACCCCCTGGGGTAGTGTTGTCTCAATTGGTCCCCACTTTCAGTCCACCCCCCTCCCCCCAACCTTTGGACATTTCTGGATCCACCCTGAAATGTGTCTCACTTATTACTATCTTGTCAAAATTGTACTATGTTGTACCGAAAAAAGGAGTTTTAACTCTATAGACTTGTAAACCATTTGTAGTTGTTGGTAGTGTGCATTTCTGTTAGGCTGAAGTTTGGTTTTATCATCAATAAATGATATATTGTATCATCGCATATCGTTTCATCTCTCAAGCTCGAGAACCAAAACCTTATGTACATACAGTATATATGGTAAATGAAACACTGCCAGTGTAGTTCTATAAAAATATTGCTATATCACTAAGCATAAACGTCGTTCTTACATATCTTTCTATCTGCAAGGCTGTAAATATGTCATTGCTTTCCCAAGCACTTTCGAATAGATCAACGAACATCATGTCCAACGTGTTAGGCTTGCTGACGGTCTAAAAATAGTACCCTAAATTGGCAGATTGTCAGAAGGTGTTTGGCCGAAGCACAGAAACCCACTCTAATACGGGTCTGATCGCAACAACGTTAATCCAACATAGAGAGCAGTGAATGAATACAATTTCAACAGAAATACAATTGCAGGCTTGATGTTTAAATGTCTTTAGCCCACAAAGAAGCAACTTTAATGACTCAACCTCATGAACAAACAATACAACTGATTAACTGATTCTATACTGACTCATAATCAGTATTCAACATTTTTTTCAGAAACAAATTAAAAGCTATGATTTTAGTTGATTGTGCGTCCGGGCGCTTAAAATATTTTTTGCACTTTCTGAGAGGCGCTTATTCAAACAGGACGCTTATTTAAATGGGGCGCTTATGAAAACAGAGTGCAAATTGAGGGGGTGCTTATGGAAATAGATGAAAATCGAAGGGTTCTTATGGGAAATTATTAAATTCAAGAGGCACTTTTGAATGAAAAAAGATTATACAAGGACATTATGAATGGTGGTTAGGCGGAAAAGATAATCGTCCAGAGAATGCGTGAATAATTTACATAACAGCAAAATAGCAGATGCAATTGGTGGTTAGCTTGTTGGCCATCGGCCGATTGAGGTTAGCAGGATGGCAGGATCATTGTATTTTTTATTTGGAAACTAAGATGAGAATGTGCTAAAGGTGCAAATTTTCGGAAAAGAAAAAGAGGAGTAGGACTAGGCAGACAAATATGTAAAAAGAGTTGGAAATATACTGTCTGTCCAGGGATCGGAGCTCTCATCTGTCCAAGAGAAATATCCTCATTTTGATATTGACCTAAGAAGAATGTGTTTCCACTCTGTAGCTCAATTATGCCAACAACCACAGTCTCAGGATTGATTGGATTATTTACTTGCTAAAAAGAAAATCTTATGATATTATTAGGGGCACTTATTCAAATTAGAAGGGGGCACTTATTCAAACGGGGCGCTTAAGGGAATTTTCCCATTAGGATGGGCAGTTATTCGAGAGGGGCGCTTATTCAAACGGGGCGCTTATTTGCGAGAGTACATTAAGTACCATTTTCTCAAAATTTCTAGGGGATGATTATCAATATAGCAATTACTGCAATCAATTAATATAGAATTTAAAGTATCACAATAATTCAAAAATTCTTTGATACACAATGACCAAAATGAAGACATGCATCATACATTCGGATTCTTTTCTATAATATTTTAAGTCCTATACAAATGACAATCCCTATTCTACAATTTGTATTATGTAATAATTTGCTATTTATTAAATGTACTCTAGGTTTGTGACCACAAAAGTAATGTACATTTCGTCCCTGATTTAATCTACCTTTTTATATTGGGTATTGCTAGACACCTGGGTTGGATGGGGTTTGCAGTGCTTACAGGGTTTTCATACACAACCATTGGCGTAGGTGTATCTAGGGGAGGGCGCAGGGGTGCAAAAAAAAAATTACCTGCTCCCCCACCCCCCAAAAATC